TTTCTTCAAGATGCGATACAATGCCTTTGTATCTTCTAGCTGGTCAGTGTAGCATAACATTTGTCTTCCAGTGGACTTTCAGTCTTTCTCACTCAAGTGTTTTTATTTTTTAAGAATATATTTTCAGGAAGAGGATGACCAAATGTCACCTTTAACTTAAAACGATATAGGTTTATAAGATAAAATGTTATTAGTTATGTCTTTGGCCTGTGGATATGTTCATTAAATGTTTGTGTAATTGGAAGATTATGAATCTTCAAGTATATAGAGCTTTTGTTGTGGAGTGTAAATCACTCATTTGGGTGTGCAACCACGAGCATGTACATTATCCAGTTGGTAGGTCCGTGTTTTCATGTACTTCCCATCGATACATAAACCCTGTGACCATGAAGAATTGTTGATCTAGAAGTATGTTTAGAAAACTACACAATCTGTAAATCTCCCAACTATATTATCTTCGTATGTGGATGAGTTTTGTCGTGTTAGACATTGAATGTGAGTGTAACCACATTGATTATTTTGTTGCACATTTATTAAAATATGTAAAGGCTGAAGGGGGAAGTGTAGCGCTTAGAGCGTACTTGAAGTATGTATAAATAACCATAAAAGGAGAAAAGAAAGGGAAATGTTTTAGGAGCTTAAGCACAGCTCCAGCTTGAACGCTTGAGAAGAATAAACGCTGCCCAAGGATATGGTGGAGTACAAGCTCTAAAGAGCTGGTTGAGCCCCTGAGCGCGGAGATATTGTGCTTATTAGAAAATCTTTGCCTAAAAGCAGACTCTGAGAAGCAGCTGTCAATACTTTATCGGACATGTTTGCTGCTGAATTCCAGAACACCATCTTCTCGGTGGGGATAATACCACCTACGTCTGTTGGACAGTGCAAACTTAATTTTGCTTTATCAAATCGAGACCATCACTACCTATATCCTAGAGTGAAGATCCCACCACTTCACACTATACTTGTGGAGCCACTTTCAAGGCTCCATAACACGTGAGTGCATATCTTTTATGGTTGTTTATTTCTATAAATGAGTCTGACCTACTGCACTATACACTTCTGGTTTCTCCCATATATCGGCAAGAGAAGCTATTCCTACAAGGATTTTCCTGAAGAGCTTGTACTCCACCAAATCCTTAGGCAGGGATCATTCCATTCAAGCTTTCAAATTGGAGCTGTACTTAAGCTCCTAAAATGCATAAGTGCTGATTGCCTTCTTGCTTTCATTTTATTAAAATATGTATATTTTAAGTATGATATATATGTGTGAAATTAAGTATACAAACGTCATAACAACGATTACACCACCAAAGTTTTTAATATGAATCCCTGACCGCAATAGTAGTCCAAAAGCCAATGGCTCCAAATTCAAGTCCGAGTATTTCTGCTGATCCCAGCCTGTCCCACGGTTATCTCCCCAAATCTATGTAATTATCTGCCCTGAATAGGTTACCAGACACAGCTAGTGATCACAGGCAAATGACCCCCCATTCAATGATATTTCACTAACCTGGATTTTACATTAACTGGTCATGGACGAGTTTGGACAAATATTGTCTGTTTTCCGGTTCATCTTCCGTTCCACCAGTTTCTTTAACTTTCCCAGATGGAGAAATCCCGAGGGGAAACTTGTTAATGATCAATAAGGTTCTCACTGCCTGGAAAACCACTTTCGTTGTTCAAAGCTGGGCTTGTATTTAACTTGCAAACTGCTACAGGGTTTCTGAATCGATTTACAAAGAGTTCAGCTTAGATTTTAACGTTTAGGTACACATCGCTATATAGTAACAAAACAAAAAAGAATTAACAATTAGGATTTATTTACAAAGATCCATTGTTAGGGCAGACTTAAAGGGACACTCCAAGTAGTTTAAAAGTGGACCTATTGCAATGAAAACCAATATATGATTGTATTAAGCTACATTTAGTCCGCATCCTATTTCTGTATTGTACACAAAGTAACTTGGCGATAGAAAAAAAAAAATTTAAACTGTGCCTCTTGTCCCTATTTATAAACCCTGTTCACAAATGTGTGAATTGCTGAGAATTCAAAGCGAATCTCACATTTTAGTTCAAAATTCTCAATAATGTTTTCAGATGTGCTATTTTGCCCAAAATAGACTTTTATTTTAGAGTCCCGATTTCCAATTTAGCGAATCATCCTCACAGCTGACACAATTCAGCAAGTTCACACAGAGCAGAGGGCCAGGTCTGCAATTGTGGCAAGAGAAGTGTTTGTTATTCAATTACTTGGTGGAAACTGAATTAAATTGAGAATATCTGTATATGCTGCTCTACCCTTGTGGTTTGCAACAATCATATAGAGAAAGAAACAAGAAGGACGTTTGTGCTGGGCAGATCTGTTTATCTATGGTAGTGCTCCCTCCTAGACCACAGGTACACGACCATTGGACATTCCATTTCTAGAACCCTGACAAACCCACAGCGCTTACAATGAGGGAGAGACAAAAATCCATGACCGGTCCCCTGAAGGCCTTGCTATTCTCCTGAGCCTGATCTGCACACAGCTTCATTTTTCGGATTGCCCTATGATACAACTCTTACTTTGGACTTGACATGGCGGTGATTAGCCTATGGTCTGTGCCCAAATGCCCACTCTACCTCTGTGTAGGGCAGGGCTGTCCAACCTGCAGCCCCCCAGCTGAACTACAACTCCCATGATTCCATGGCTGTTTTATTGAAAGAATTATGGGAGTTGTAGTTCAGCAACATCTGAGGGGGTGGGGCGTACAGGTTGGACAGGTCTGGTGTAGGGTCTGAGAAAGTCCATGAACTATTTCTTCGCTACTCTGGGGAAATTGTGGAGAATTAACAATGTGATTACAAATTGTAGGCCAAAATAGTGTGTAAAAAAAAACCTGTCTCACAGTCATTTATGTGCATGGAGGGGAAAGGGGAGGAGGATGGTGGCTGCTTTGCTATTTTGGCTTACAATGTACAATTATTTTAGTGAACAAACCCCTGTGTATTCTATGCTGCTGACCTGGATATATCCGATCACAAATTGGAAAACCTTAATTCCTAATTGAATGGCTTATTACATTTCCAGGGTGGTTTTACGGCTTCAGTACATTCCCCATGAGACTTGTACAGGAATTGAACTCTGAAAGCATTCTATCAGATTTTAGTAACCCTAATATGCATGTGGGTCAAGCTAATTTTACCAATACGGTGCTGTTTTTCAGATGCTAATGCAATATTTATATTATGGAGGAACGGAATCTATTCAAGTTCCCACAGCTGCAATTTTGGAGGTACGTACGGTGGAGGGCTGAAGGGATGCTGACAATGTCCTGATGGAAAATAATTATTTTCCCGAGAACACATATAGGGTTATGCTTCCAATAGGTGTGCGCGTGAATACGATGGGATGTCGTATCACAAAGATCTCTCATGTACTATGCCATGAAGGGTTGTTGTATGTGTGTGATGGTAGTTGTATATAAGCATGCGTGGGATAGGCATAATGCTATCCTAACTATAAGATAAGACTAGGGACTAATTAAAGTATTTAGAAAATTGGGCAGACTAGATGGGCCGAATGGTTCTTATCTGCCGTCACATTCTATGTTTCTAAGGAATAAAGCTGTGTGATGGCAGATGCATGTTTTGGAATGGTGTGTGTGTGTGTGTGATGGGAGTAATGTATACATAATATGTATGGAGTGTGTGTTGGGAGCTCTATACTGTATTTGTAGATGGTGGGTGCTCAGTCTGTTGGCAATTTTAGGTTTCATTGAAATAGAGGGTTCAACACTGCACCTCCTGCTCCAAATACCAGGATACAGACAATTCTGGTGTCTGAAGTTACTAAATCCACTATGTTCTCTTTAAAGCTCCTCTCGGCAGCCAGTCAATTCCAGCTCGACGCTCTGCAGCGACACTGCGAGATTATCTGCTCACAGGGAATCAACATAGATAACTCCGTCAGCATCTACAAGTATGCCAAGGTGAGATTCCATCAACGTGAATAGATTGTGATTTTAACAAACAGGGACTGAAGAGACCTCATAAATGCACAACAACAGAATCTGGTAAAGGGAATTCTCTAAATAATTTATATTGTGCCATATATCGAACTAACAGATATACAGGTAAATGTAAATCAAGTTCTCTCTGAGCACACAGATTTTATTTTCAAAGCCCAGCAGGTATTGCAACCATTATCATCCCTATGATTCAAACTAGAATGAGGAGGAACAAAATATACAATGATCAGTTTTCTAATGACTTCTGGTTGTTTGGATTAAAAGGGAGAATTCTACACTTGCTCAAACAATGAAAGCATGCAATAAATAATAAAATATATATATCCACCGGACATTTGTGTGTGGCTGCAAATCACAGAATATAAAGAATCTGTAATAACCTCTCCCTAGATTAGGAAATGTCTCTGATCAATCATCCAATTGTAGCAGTCACAATGATTTCAATGAACATAATGGGCAATCCAACATACCGTTTATAATCTCAAACTTTCTGTAAAAGCATCAATGTGAAGAATTAAACTGTACAATATATATATTTGTTGCATATCATCTCATATTGCAAGATTTTTTTATTTAGGGGTAGTGTATATTTTCAGGGGGAGGTTTACTGTTTAGGCAACCATGACACATTGCTGCCTGCAATTCGTGGGAGTTATGTCAGCAGCTTCCCTGCTGGAGCATAACACAGACTAACCTCAGGCAGACTACTACATGAATGTTAGTTTTGCCAGACCGTAGGGCACCCCACAGCCAAAACTTGACTTTTCACAACAAAGCACTAGTACAAATAGAATGAACTGGTGGTTTCCTAAGAGAGGGAATATGTATAGTTTAATAATTTGCAGGCTTAGTAGTTATGCCTTGAAAACAATGAATTTTAAACGCAGCAACATATAGAATATATACAGCAAACAAAGGGTGGGTCTGATCAGTCTTCTTTGTGAAATAAAGTCAAGCGTGCTGTAAGACCCGTAACTTTGAAATGTACAACTGAGAACGTCTGGCTTTGTCTTTCAGATCCACAATGCCCCAGAACTGACCGTATTCTGCGAAGGATACTTTCTCCAGAATATGAAGACTATGCTGGAGCAGGACTCCTTCAAACAGCTCATAAATGGACGCAACAGCAAGTTACAGGGTTTGGACACTCTAAATGACCTGCAAATCACACTGACCAACCGGATCAAGGATGTTTATATTTCATGTCGTGTGTGAAAGTGACCGGAATCATTTGTACCATATATCTATACGCATCACAGAGCTATCTGCTATCCTACGTTCTGTGTGAAGCTAAAAGAATGAATGTTAAAGCCAGTAGAGGGGATTGCAACAAGTACTGGTTACAGAAAAACTTAATTGCACAAACTGATAGGAGCATGTGCAGAACTTCTTGGGGTCTGATAGAAAGACCAAATGTAGTTCAAACGATGGTAGAAGAATGAGATGTATGTAATTATCTATATAGATAGAGAAGGATTAAAAACCTTGTTCATACGGCTAAATCACCTGTACAGTTCTAACGTGGATTTAACCAACATCAAGAGCCGCCAATTACCGATTAAGAGTCTGAAAGTGATCCTTAGACAGGCAGGAGCTCTGAGTGCCATAATGATTTTATATAGTTCTATTGTTTCAAACTCAGTTGCATAAGGAGTTTGTTTTTTTGCACCTTATAGATAATCCCAACAAAGTGGATTACCCAAAGAGGCACTAAAATAAATGAGAAATGAAACATCCCACCACATCTGGTCTGTAATTTGTTTTTATTCCGTTAAAGAAAAAAATCTGTGAAATCATTAACAGAGAAATTTGCCTTTCGTTTGTCGCTGTAAATCTGCAAGCACAGAATGTTTAATGAAAACTGGTGTCCTATTGGACTCGTGAACAAAAATAACAAAGCTATTTATAACATTAAATAAAATGTCTCATTAAGTGAGGGCTAAAAGTGGAGCTGTCTCTATGGAAACCAATGGAATGTTTATGCAAATTGCTCCTGTTTTAGAATTTCTCTGGGTAACACCTTTATACATTACCTCCTTTGTGTAAATATATATATTTTAATTTGAGTATTTCCCTAACAAATATACAGTGGGAGGAATATTGCAGTTTATCTTCTTAGGATGGTGTTCTGGGCAAAATGCAAACCGTTCCAGCAGTTGGAAACTAGAATTGTTCCGAATTCGGATGAAAATCTGTGCTTCTAATCCAGCGTAGCTTCTTTTTTTTGGAGGAGACAGGAGGAGAGGTTTTAATTCAGTTTATTTCTTACACAACGAAACAAACATTCGCAGCATCCTATATACATTATGACTGATGGTCAATAAGGCACGACCCACGTGTTCTCCACCTTGCTCTTGCTAGATGTTGGGGAGCAAATATCACTCAAACTTTGCATAATAGAAGAAGAGTCCACAACTTTATCCAAGCAGAGGTCCAGCTGCTCATTTTCCACGCTTCTGCTTGTTGTCTTTGTTTTTCCTAAACATTTTCTGCTGTTTGGCCGCATTCTTCTCTGGTTGTTCCAATTTCCTTTTCTTGTCACTAAGAGAGAATTTAGGTTATTTCCTTTAAGCCATATACAGAAAAAGTACTAGAATCACCACCAAATGTTTTATGATCAAGAACAATCTAAACAAGATAATTCTGCAAACTAAAAATGACACATGGTGGGGATTAAAAATAGAGGCAAGAGGATCAGTGAGACCTACCTCTTCACACTGATAATGGACGCATGTTTCCCAGTCTTCTTCAGGACTTCATTCCATTCTTCAGCCTGACCTCTGATTGCATACCTGTAAAAATATCCACAGGTAAAAATGTCACAAATGGCTAGGACTTTCATCCATACTGTTAACTTGGCCAAAGTGGTCTAGAGAAGTCTCTTTGAAAGTCACGTTTCTGGAATTACAATTGAGCAAAATATGGAAAGTGACCTATGACTTATGTTAATTTTATTTTTCCTGTATTGCTCTGCTTTCTTTTAAATTTATATCAAAAGATGTCACAATTTAAGTCACGAGACATGGCAAATGTAGAAGGGAAACGGAAACTGTCTAATTTCTCCTCTGTATGCTGTTATCTCTATGCTGGGTGCAAAGGACAGTTTATAAGAATGATGGCTACAGATCCAAGATGGAGGTACCCAGTTACAGGATTTCTAAATTTGGGTTTTCACACATCACATATGGATAAGTAAAGAATATTAAAACTCCTGGTAGGTCCCCTTTTGAGCCTTGATCACAGCTCAAGGTCTTACGATGTGGATTTAGAAATTACCATATATACTCAAGTATAAGTCTAGTTTTTCAGCACATTATTTGTGCTGAAAAACCCTCACTCGACTTATACTCGAGTTAGTGTCTGTCTTATGGCAACTAACATAATACAGACCAGGACCGCCGGGCTCATTACAAGCCCGGCAGTCCTGTTGGGGGCTGGCAGTGAGCTGTAACTTACCTTTCCTGCAGCTCCTGTCAGCTCCCTTCTCCTGTGCTCCGGTCAGCTCCTTTCTCCTCCACTGTAAGTCTCGCGGTGTGACTGCCGCGCGGAGCGTTGCCACGGTGACCTGTGGCAACGCTCTGACCCCGCGGCTCTCGCGAGACTTACAGTGGAGCTGACCGGACCGGAGAAGAAGGGAGCGGACAGGAGCTGCAGGAAAGATAAGTAACAGCTCTCTGCCAGCCCCCTCCTACACAGCCCATCCACTGGACCACCAGGGAGTGAGAGTCCCCCTCCCTGGCCAGCTAACAAGCAGGGAGGGGGGACGAAAATAAAAATTAAATAAAAAAAATGTAAAATTAAAAAAGTAAATAAAATAAATACTAAAATAAAAAATTTAAAAAAAAATTTAAAATAATAAAAATGCCCTCCCCCACCCAGTTCACACACAAATACTCATACAAACACACACTCTGCATTGTATACACACACACACACACACACACATACAATCTCCATTATATATACACACACACTGCATTATATAATGCAGCGTGTGTGTTTGTACGAGTGTGTGAATATATAATGCAGTGTGTGTGTTTGTATGAGTGTGTATATAATGCAGAGTGTGTTTTTGTATAAGTGTGTGTATAATGCAGAGTGTGTGTGTGTGTGTAATTCAAGGTGTGTGTATGAGTGTGTGTATAATTCAGAGTGTGTGAGTGTGTGTGTGTGTGTATAATTCAGGGTGTGTGTAATGCAGAGTGTTTGTATGAGTGTGTGTATGTGTATATAATTATAAAAATCACAGAATTTCATAGCCCCAAGTTTTACCCTCGACTTATCCACGAGGCATAGCATATTTCACAATTGTTGGTATCAAAACTGCACTCTACTTATACACCAGTATATACGGTACTCACTGGGATAGGTCGACTCCTTTTAGTTTCTCCATCTCCTTGTTCTGTTTCTCTTGAAATTCTTTAGCTGCCTCCTCCTGATTGTGGGAGCAAAAAGTCAGTGAATGAAGTCTGATGTCAGCACAGAATGTGGAAGAGATCACATAAAATAACCACCTATATCCTACATGGGAAAAAAAACAACTTACCAAATCCTCATTAAGAGATTTCAATGTGGGTTCCATGACAACCTCTTTGGCAGTGCCCATCTCGTCTTCGATGGCCCTCTCTTGGATTCTGTTAAACAGCTGGAGAAGGACAAAATGAGTGTTACAAAGCCACAGTGAATATGGAGATATCAACCTGCTTTCTATAAAAGCCAAATTTAAACTAGTATGCCAACTGGATAACTTCAGGAACATTTTATAGCAAAGTTTGGGAGAATCAAAAAGATACAATTTAGCTGCTTATAAGGCATGGAGTGTGGGCACATTTTATGAATAAACGCCAAAAGGTATCCATTTTGCTTCAGCAGGTAATCACAGACATATCTATGCAATTGCTCCATAAGCACTGTGCCATTCGGCTCCCCGGACTACCTAAAAATAACTCCGAGAAATATTTGCAGTAAGAAAGCCTTGATGGGTATTTATAGAGAAAGGTTTAAAAACTAAAATAATGAATTCGAAGAGCATTGAAAACCAATTTGCAACAATTTTGCAGGAATATTAGTGTTAGAAAAATTCTGTAAGTAAGCTTTTTTTCTCCCCACTTTGACCTAAATAAGGTTTTCAAATCACCAACATTCACGGTTTAGTGTTTTTTTTTTAATAAATACATCCCTATCACTACTTGGCCATATTATCCCTTACAACACAGAACTTTATTTAATACCCGGTTCTGTGAAGTTTACTAGTTCTTGCGACACTATTATCCCCTGGCAAATCATTCAATAATGCTGCATTAGACAACTGCTTATCACACGAAATGTTAATACTCTCAACAAAAAGAAAACCAAAAAAGCCATAAACTTTGAAAATGGAAGATATAAATTCCATAACAATCCAACATAATGGATTCTGAACTACCGCACAGAGTAAACTGGTAATTGGACCACTGGCTGGTAAATGATCAACTTCGTACCAGGTTAGTAACGTAACAGGAGAATCTATATAAACCAATCAGGCATGACCTGCTAGGATCATCATCAAAAGGGATTTTTCTGATCCTGCATACATTACATTCATTTTTCTATTAAGTAAAGTGATTTATAAAGGATTCCTCTATAAAACCAGAGCAATATATACATAACATAGGACAACCCTCCCAAGCCCTTTTTTGCACCAGATATTAAACTCTCCGACCACTTACCTGGATCATTTTACGGATGACGCGGTTAAATAGACCCATTAACTGACTGCCAGGCAGGTCAATTTCCTTCTCCAGTTGATCCACTGTTTTGTGCTGTAGGCCAATACCCAGAAGCAGAGCCTGTGTGGATAAGAGCAGATTATAAGAAATTATATGTTAGCAGTTATAACAGAAAAGGGGAAACAAATTATAGAAGTACTGGATATAAAAAAATAAAATAAATAAGTTTATAGATAATCTCATACTGCAATTCAAAGATGCAGCTGCAACATTTATACAAAAGTCACTCTTCTGTTTAAAGGAACACACCACACAACTAGGGCACTTTAAAGGGAAATTAAAGTGCCAGGAAAACAGGTATAGCTTCCCCCTGCGTCAAGACCCCTTCTGTCACTTACCATGTCCCTGGGCACTGGTTCGTATCCACTTTACCGCCGTCAGCTTTCCTATGGGGATTCCATAGAAGTTGCAGGTCCTCATTCATAGAGACGGAGTTAACCCATAGAGGTAATACTTGCAATTTATAAAAACTGCTATAATTACCTTTGCAGGGTTAAGGGACCTGATTTTTTTTCATTTTAGAAGAAGTGCAGGTTTCAAAGTAAACTTGTATAAATTAACCTTGTTAAATCCCCTGGCTGCAAATCAAACAGCCGGTCCTGTTCCTTCCTTGTTGTTTAGCTCAGTGGAGCTTAACCAAGAGGCAGCAATTACCAAGAGCCCCACTGAGCTACATTGGGAAGTCTTTTATTGGACAGCCGCAGAAAGTCTGGACTGGGAAGAAGGGGAAGGCTTGCAAAGGCAGCAGAAAACAGATCTGCAGCTTTTGAAAGTGGTTTCAAAATGTACCTCACAGAAAATAAAAATGCATAATTAGGGGAACACTATATGCACCCAGATCTCTTTATCTCACTAAATCGATCTGGGTGCAGTGCTCCTGTCCCCTTAACCCTGTAATGTGAAACATTGCAGTTTGAACCTTTGAGTCACCAGATGGCGGTGGTGGGAGAATCTACAGAAATACACAGAGGGACAGCTGTTTTGTATTCATAAAGCTATAGTTTTCCTTTAAATGCATGCATGCTGTCATTGGGGGGTAGATCTAGGGGAGAGTGGAGCATCCCTTTCAGTTGCATACATACATACATCACATGGTTGGAGTTTATAGGAAGATATATCAGAGGTGGCAGCAGATAAGCCAGGAGAGCCTAAGTTTCTCTCAATGTTCCAATAACAATTGAAAAAACAAACCAAACCCCAAAGACAACAAAGGGAATGCACTCAAAGACTCATTCCACCATAACCACTATAGTAAGATGAAATGGTTATATAGCGTAATGTCCCTTTAATTGGCTTGCTCATTTCAGCATTACCATCCCAGGGACAAACATACTAGCAAGATACATCAAAAAGACACTTACGGACTGAGCTGCAGAAAGATGGAGCTCTCCAAGCTGTTGCAAGAAGAAGAGACGGCTGACCGTAGGGATGAGATCCATGATAAGGTGATAATCCACCATGTTTTGGGAGTACATCTCCAGTCGCTTCAAGTCATACGGAGTGAAGACCATCCCTAGCTCCGAGCGGCTGATTACTAAATATAAGTGAGCAGAATGAACAGACCGTTAAATGTGGAGATTGTACAGGGTGACAGGTTAACAATGAAGAATGCTGTTCAGGAGAACTAGCAACCAGCAGTAAAGACAGACTCACCACTCTGAGATTCCTTCTTCACATTTCTGTTCTGCAAAACATTCAACGCCAAAGATGGTTGGAAGTTACAGAACTGATACGAGAGAAGGGCCAGGAAACGTCTTCGAAAATCTGTGTAAAACAACAACAGCAAGAGAGTAAGAAAGGCAGAACTTCACCAATAGCTGCACAGCACAGTTTTACAGCAAGTCATTTCTTATTGAAACACATAATCAGAAACCCATATGGCTTCCCTCCTGCTCTTTAAAAGGGACACTATAGTCACCAAAATAACTTAAGATTAATGAAGCAGTTTTGGAGTATAAAACATGCCTCTACAGTCTCACTACTCAATTGTCTGCCATTTAGGAGTTAAATCCCTTTGTTTATGAACCCTAGTCACACCTCCCTTCATGTGACTTGCACAGCCTTCCTAAACACTTCCTGTAAAGAGTCATCTAATGTTTACACTTCCTTTATTGCAAATTCTGTGTAATTTAGAATTTCTACCTGCAAGAGCCTCCTGAATGTAATTAAAATGTAATTTACAGAGCAGGAGATAAAAACCTTTAAATTAACTTATATCTGATTGGAAATTAAACCATTGTTTTCATGCAGGCTGTGTCAGTCACATCCAGGGGAGGTGTGGCCAGGCTTCATAAACAGAAGTTATTTAACTCCTAAATGTCAGTGAATGAAGCAGTGAGACTGAAGACATGATCTAATTAAGCTAAAGTTGTTTTGGTGACCATAATGTTCCTTTAACTTCAGTGATCTGTGAAAGCAATGCTCTATAGCCGGAGCATTCAGACTTTAGTCTACTTTTTGAACCTAATAAGAATGTTGAGACAGACAGAGACAGAAACAGACAGACACACACCCCTTCCGTGTAATTTCTAAATAAGTGTAAGTTCTACTTTTATTTTAAAAGGGGGGTCTTCGCGGTCTCATAACACTATAGCCATTGCAGTAAGCTGTAGTGGTTATGGAGCTTGGAGCGTACTTTTAAAAACTAGAAAGTAAGTACAGGATTATAATCATTGGTCCTTAACAGGTTACAATTCCATCAACTCTTCTCCAATATGTTCTTATATACTTGTCCTCTAACATTGCTGTGATCCCTCCTGGAACACTCACCTTTCCAAAATGCCGTCAGCCACGGTTCCTGCTCCGACTCATCTTCCTCTTGCAGACACTTAAGCATTACGCAGGAATGCTCGCCGGTGAGATCATTCTGAAGATAAAACGATAAAACAGTTAGAAAACAAGTTAGAGGAAAAAAAAAAAAAAAGGTAGGAATTAGTTGATGGAAACTAATTTATACTGGATGCACAGCACACTCAATGGAAGGGTCTGTAGTGTAGTCCACACAATAATACTGCCGTCAACTCATACTGGGCATTGTCTTGTGACCTAAATGTCACCCGTATCTGCATAGCAAGATAAAAATACAAATATATATATATATTTTGCACTGAATCCCCTGCGTACATCATCTTTATTGGCATTTAAGAGAAGTGTAATCCTCCTCTGGGTTTGATTTCTGCACCAATTATTTGAAGAGATTTAAAAATACAGCCAATCACCATCATTTGTTAAGCACCACCTCCGCAAACTATTCTCAGATGGGAAAATAGAATTAAATAAAAAATAAATCACTTACTGGAGTTTGGCGCAGGTAAACTGGAACAAACCCAGCTCTTTTCCAAAACCTGCAGAGACACAGCATTTATTTACAATGTAAGTCACCAAATTTTCTAAACACTACCAGAATCGCCAGGTGCATGCAGCCCATTGGGATATTTACTTCAACAGTTTTGGGGTTAATCCGTAGGACACACCAAGATAGTCCAACTTCTCTGCTGGTCTTTCACTGAGCCGGAGCAAAAGTGGGGGCAGGTTCTTTCGTGGAGTCAATGATTCTTCCAATAAGCTCACAGCCTGAGGGAATAAGCAGGTCTTAAATGTCTTCATAAGACACAAATAGCATGGGGTTTAAAAAGGAATAAAACCATTTCATCATGTATGTGTTAAGAGTACTAACCACACTGCTTACGGAGGTGATCTCCTGAGGATTCTGGGCCGCGTTCTCTTCCAGACATGGAAACTGTCCCTCATAGTACATCTGCAATAACTGCAGAGCCCGGCTCCCATAACCCATCTAGAAAACATATGAGAGAGGCAAAGGTCAGGCAATTTAAATTAGCAAAGGCATGAAGAAGAAGCAGTGTGTGCCGAGACTAATGGACAACAACGAGACGGATGTGATGCACCTTGGAAAAAGCAGGGAGACAGAACAAGGATGCAAAGTGAAGTGAGATGAACTCATAACTAGCAAGACAAATTTTCGGTTCTTAATAAATATAGGAAAAGTCAGATGTTAAGTAATCAAGGACACTACAAAAAGATGTAATTTATTACCCCTTGGTAGTCTGGGTGGACTGCTATTCTCACAACTCTTCCTCCAGAGAGGCTTCCAAAATCTGGATCTTGGAACTGGAAAGAAAAAATTTGGGATCAACAACGTGGAAGAACTTTAGCTCTGATCAAACGCAACCACAAGAATACTCAAAACATGCTCTGTACCTATCAGAAATCAGGCACTGCCCATAACGGCAAATGGTTCTCTATAAGATATAGATCAAAACACGTTCACTATCCCTGACTGTCCAATATTAAAGAAATTAGGACAGGATTTTTCCCCTTTTATAATGCAAAATATAAGATACAAGGTCCGGAGAATACATGCTTCTCACCTGCTCAGAGACAGTCCATGGAATCAGGTCCCCTGATGCCTTCTTACCACGGGACAGACTGTTCATGACAGACTGACGGGAAATTTCACCCTCTAGACAGACCTACAGGAGGATTAAGAAAAGACCCAAGCATCAGCTGGTCACTGTTGCGCTACAAACATATTAAAACCTCATATATAATGGCAATTGGATTAGAATTTAAACTAACATTGTTACCTGAACAACAGCCAAAACCTCAGGCAAGGAATTCTGGGTGGCAGGAACCGGAGGGAGGAGGCAGAAGAGGTGATGAGCTGGGGCATCAGACAACATCTGGAGGTCATTTGGTGAATTCTGCAAGTTTAACATAAGGGTAATAAACCATAGAACAAATAAATAAAAGGAAAATGTTGGTAAATCTTTTTATGGTATTAAAAAACATCTCTTGGAGGAGAAGTACGCTAACGTTAAATAAATACTTTTAGAAAGCAGACATAAAAAAATAAATAAAAATAAAATATATATAAAAAAATAAAAAGTCCTTGCACACAGACTAATTAACAAAATGCCGGGTGCACAATAGTTAGTCAAAAATACATATATGAAAAAAAAAAAAGCTGCTTGCACTCACGATCTTAGATGAGGTTAAAAAAAAAAAAAATAAAAAAAAAATTCTTTATTGAAGTTATTCCATAAAAAAAAATAATAATAAAAAAAAAAAAAAATTTAATGGAATAACTTCAATAAAGAAACATTTTTAACCTCATCTAAGACCGTGAGTGCATGCCGTTTTGTGTGTGTGTTTATATCGTATTTTTACAGTTCTTTTATATAAAATTGCCTGGGTACACAGGACTTCCTTACTTTGTAGTGAGAAGCAACATAGAGAGCCATTAGTCTCTGGAGGAATGATTCGGAAGCTTTGTGGTAGCAAAACAATGTGTCCCGATTCACATAATATCTGTATAGAGAGTTAAGGATACAGCGTAGGAGTAACAGTGGGACATACAATAAGGAGAAAGGTGTGCTACACAACAGTGTGCTAGAAATTGGAGCCTGCAACACAATAGATGTACACTAAGTGGCACTAACACACACACAAAAAAATTTTTTTTTTTTTAAATCTTTACTTAAATTTTATTAGTTCTTAAACAGAAATAGTTATCCTTTACCTTTAGTTAGCACTAATCCACATATTGTACATGCAAAATAGCCAGCAAATGTACACATACAAATATAGAAATTGCCCCAAAATGTTTGTTCTCACCCAGTATGGTGGCCTGGAATGGGTTGATTTAGCAAATTTACAAGACCCCTGAAGGCTCACCAACAATAACAAGACATTGTTAGAGGGTTACTCCAAACAAAAATCAGGGTAACCCTTGCTGACACAGGCACACCCCCTGCAGTCCAAATCTTCTTTCTGTGACATCACTACACCTTACTGCATTGGGAGGATGTTACATAGGAGGGCAGAGGGTGGGGCTAGAGCAGCATGGAGGGTGGGGAACCATGACGCCAACTGACAGCAAGCTATGCCTGCTGATTACTTTTTTATGCACAGTTTTAACATTATGCTGTGGTACATGAACTTACACCTCAGACAGCAAAACTAAAGGTCTCTGTATGTGCAGCAATTTACATTTTATACTGCGACCCTGCACGTACAGACTCCAAGTACCATGACCACTTCAAAGCAGTGGTAATTTGTTCTCATGCACTTTCCTGAACAAACCAGTTACACCGGCACATATAATACAAATCTAATGGAATATAAAAATTTTATAAAACCCACAGATACAATTTCCAATGGAGAAAGGATACAAGTCGCAGGTTTCTGGGAGCGGACAGCCAGAGATGATTCGGGTGATGTTCAGACAGTCCAAACACAGCAAATCGTTTAGCCATTTCTCGACGGGATCTCCAGGAGCATAACGGATGGACTCCTGCAGAGAAACTTCATGCAGAGTACGAGCTGGAGCCAGAGAGAGAAAGATAAAAGTATTTTTAATGGTTTCTACAGCGGGGAACCTGCAACCAGAAACGGAACACTGCATCTGTCACGGTGAAGAAAATATATCAGTGAGTGCCCAGTAGAAATGAAGGAAATAGTAGAGAATCCCAGAGTCCCTTTTTGTTCTCTTAACGAAACCAACCTGATGCCAGCCGGTTGCTGGTGGAGGATTTGTTTTCAGCAGACACAACGACCTGACTGTCTGCACTTTGCTGCCGCAGCTGCTGAATTAGCTTCAGGGACAGAGACCGGCCAGTCCCTTCATACCTGGGCAATAAGAGAGTAAGCTGATATGTAAACAAATACGGGCCAGATAGACACCAGGGTAAAAAAGGATTTATATTACTACAAAGAACGCTTTATAAAAATAAAGCCATGTACACACTAGGTCTGGAATGTCCCTTTAAGGAATGGATATTATGGGATATCTGACATATAGACAATAAGAACCCACAAACTCAATAGGTTTTACTATGCATGCCTGCATGTGACAGTGATAATGCATTCATCAAAAGCCAAAATGCTAAATTCATCCTTGCAACAATGCTCTCTTCCCCCAAAATCAGATTCTAAAAGGTGGTTTGTTACTCTCACCCATTGATGGTTGATGCCATGAAGACCAGGTAGGGCCCCATCAGACTCTTCACAAGGGGCAGAGGAATTGCAGCAGCTTCATCAATTACAACCAGCTCTGCTTGGCCTAACTTGACGGCATCGGCCGGGTGGATGTACTGTGAAAGGAAAAGCACAACAATGAAGGTAATAAGCTCCAAGAATACATACAGCGTGGATGAAGATATTATTTTTTTTTTTGTCAGAGGTTCTTCATGTCAGGAATATACTATGAACTATAAGCGCAATGTCAAGAGCTGTACAACTCGGGAGACACCCACATGTAACCCAAGACCCTTAATGTATGCAGTTCCTTATCCAAAGCAGAGTGAAGATGGTGAAATTAAAAGATTATTAGCCTCCAGTTGGGTGCTATGTCCTTACCTGAATAGTCTGTCTGTGCTCCTTGAACACATTTACTCGTACCACTGCCTTCTCAAACTCTGGATTCAATGACTGGATAATCTCATAATCCAAGTGTTCCTACAACAGTCAAGAGATGGAGGGAAATTTTTAGCAAGCAAGGACCATTGCCAACCAACTCCCCAAGAGCCAATGTCACATACTTCCATATCACACGGGCTCACCTGGTACTGCAGAGCATCAAACCCTTTAAAGATGAACTCGAAGAGGGTGTGAAGATTATCAGGGCTTGGTGAGGTCACAAAGATGTTTGAGTAACTTTAAAATAATAGAGAAAAACACAAGATATAAAAGAAATCTGGAATAGCAATCATTTCTGTCCAAGCTGCTCATGTGTCATGAATTATTGCATTTATTTTAAATTTACAATATTTTCTTCTTCTGGAGCTCCCAAAGATGTTAGACAGGGCAGCAAACCCAATTTATTTACATAAGAACTGCTTCCAAATCACCTGAGTTGATAGAAATTACTGAACAATAAAGTCCCAGAATTTAGAAGATGTTTACTTGTTTAACTCCTAAAATGTACCCTTCAAATGTAAAGTAACTTATCAACTGACAACTTAAAAATAGGTAATGTTTATTTTTCAAGGTGGAAGACAAAATATTAAAATTTCAGAAAACACTTTTAAAGGTTTGTAAAAATGATTTTCTTTAAGAAATTTAATATGAACTATGTACAAAGAACAGTGTATATGCAAAGATTATAGCAAGACATTTATCTTGAAAGAGTCTTTTTAAAGCAAGGGTACTCTTTCTTAACATAGGTTCATATTTTAAAAGGAAGCTGAGCGTTGGATGTTGCTGTACACACATTTCTCTTTAATATAACTGACAAATAGCATATATATGAAAAAGTTTTAAACAAGTATGAATGGGATTGTAATAACAATGAGCTTGATGTCCATCTCCTAATCTTACCCAAAAGCCACAGCGCCGGCTATTGCCAACCCCAGAGCAGCAGATTTTCCCCGTCCTCGAGCTGCTGTCATGGCTACTGTGCTACGAAGAGTTTTCTCAGAAACAGCCTCAATAAACTTGAGTAACGCCTTGGCCTATAAAGAGGTAGAAACAGAAAGGGAGGGGGCCGGTGAGTGAATGGAGAGGATTATAGAGATTTGTTCTTATTTAAAGTTATGTCAAATCATATGGCATCTCATAAATAGCTTAGTTATTTTAATCTGGCTCCAATAAAATGAAGATATTCTATTCTAGAGACGTCACATGTAACAGAAGCCTGTGTTTCTAAGAAATCCCCACCTGGTCCAGTGTTTTGCAATTTTCGACCAGGACTCCCACTGGTTGTGTGTCCTGAAGACTCTGCTTTACATCTTGTAATTCCTGCTCTTCGGGGGTCAGGGTTTGTTCCTATGAGGAATATGGTTGAGTAAAGGATAAGGTTAAATAAAAGAACACAGTACGTTGTATAATTGCTATTAAGACAAGGGATGAGTGACACTTGCATGCTGTTCTATAACAGTCACCTGATTACAAGCAAACAAAATGGAATGAAGGGACTATCATACCTGTGTTTTGGGTGGGATTGGCTTGATGTTGGAGATATGGCTAGATACTGGGAGGATGTTGAGTTGGTCATCAATGACCATGCAATTCTTACAGGATGACAGAGACAGAATGAACCTAACAAACAAACAAAGAACAAATATGCTCAAATAAACCCTCTCTTGGATATAGAGCTTGCAGTAAGTTCTGGAGATATCCCTACATCACCCAAAATCTGCACGATTACTGGTTATTAAAGCTGGAAGTCAAAGAATGATAAATTAAAGGGACACTATAGTCACCAGAACAACAACAGCTTAATGTAGTTTTCTGGTGACTATAATAGCTACCTTCAAGCTTTTTTCATGTAAACACTGCCTTGTCAGAGAAAAGGAAGTGTTTACATTGTCCTTAGGGACACCTTCAAGTGGCCACTCCTCAGATGGCCACTGGAGGGGCTTCCTGGCTCAGTGCTCTGCATGGGGACGCTGAATTTTCCTCATAGAGATGCATTGATTCAATGCATCTCTATAAGGTAGTCCCTGATTGGCCAAAACTGCATTTGGCTCGCCCCGTGCCGATTTTCCCTAAGGAAAAGCATTGGATTGTCAAAAAAAAAAAAAAAAAAAAAAAGAAAATTCGGCCATTTCGATTATGTTACAAAGGGAGCGGAGCCAGCGCTGGCAGACCTGCACGGCACTGGAAATAAGGTGAGTTTTAAACTTTTTATAGGGAGGCAAGCCACCACAAAAAAAATACATGTTTGTGTTCCTGACCCTATAGTGATCTTTTAATCTTCACTGATCTAATCTATGCGTGGAAATATTTCTTCATCTGAGCTTACAGTCTAGAGATAATGGTAAGAACCCTAGTATGTGCTACACAAAACGCTGAGACCAGACCTATCTTCCCGTATTAAGTACTCAACATAAATAAAATAGGGCAATAAATGACTAGAAATGCCTAACTGTAGGCATATCGCCTGCTGTGACATAATTTGCAAGAGAGATTGCTCAAATAAAAAAATGAAATGCTACTGGAACACGAGATTATGTAAATGATCAAACACAAAATACAAACGAAGTACAAAAATGACACATTTAAAAAAAAAAAATATATATATATATATATATATATATATATATATATATATATATATATATATATATATATATTTTTTTTTTTTTTTTCTAATTACAAAATAAAAAAAATAAAAAAAATGGACATGTACCTCTCATTGAATCTCCCCACCACATCTTGATGTGCCTCTGTCCTGTATCTTGAGTGGACATCCTGAAAAACAGAACAGAGATTTTTAGAAAAGAAATTCACTAGAGCTAATAATTCCTATTGATAGATTAATGGAGGGGAGAAAAAAAAAAAATAATTTTTTATATATATATTCATTTTAACAGCACAGATCTCTTGTTGCTTTGAACTGCACGCAAATAGACATACATTTTTTTTTTTTTTTTTACGCGAACATAGAACATCATTAACTCAATAATTTACACACAGGTGTGCAACATATTGTTCTGCGCTCTCTCTCCATACTTACCATAGTCATTGTGTACAGCTGCTTCAAAGAACTCATTGTGCGAAGGAGAATCACTACAATCCCCCCACCTTCTACTGTCTCTACCGTCCGAGCCAGTAAATTGGGAGTCAGCGCCTCAAAATCCTGACAATAGAGCAAAAAAAAAAAAGAACAAACACACACACCTGGTGAATAAACTATGGGTACAATTGCACAGACCAACACAGACTGTGCCCCTATGCATCTACTATTTTAAAACTATGATGTAGAAGTGTGGTATAGCACAATACCAATAGCCCCAACCGCAAACAAAATATAGCAACCCAAAATATCCATCCACAAAGTGCAGATTAGTTATAGGGGCACACTATTGCTGCCCAAATTTATTCAAAGAGCATTCACAGTACAGACGTCATAGTCTACGTAATTAGTTCCAGCAATGGGAAGTAAAGGCCGTTGAAGAATCCTAATTTTCTATACTTGAAACACTTTCATAATACTTGAAGTTAATTTTTTTATATTTTTTTTGCTTTTTCCATTACTACTCTTGCAGCATGCACCACCGGTTCAGACGGAGCATGAGAATTGCCATATAAATGAATTACAACCTTAACTGGATATTACATACCAAGTGCATGTTAAATACAAGCAACAAACTGGATTTATGAAAAACATTTATGTAAGAAAGGCCAGATACGGTTTACTTTCAATACAATAAATAAACTAAAAAGGAACCATTAGCAGGTTAGTAGTTTAGCTGACAACTTTGAAGTTTCTGTTTCATTTAATATAAAATTTAACAATTTTTGTTTTATTTAGGTTTTACATGTAAAATAAAAGGTAACTATGCAAGGGATGTACATAAAACAGACAAGCACTGACTGACGTGTTTTGTCCTAATCACAAAACGAAAACTAAATAAATATTGTGCTGTAGTGGTTACGATGCCAGGAGTCCTCTAGCGCCATCACCTAGGTACGAGTCAACCCATTTTTATACAATTTGACAATCGCCACTTAGTTATAAGGGTCCACTGGTGCAACCCATATTTATTTGCAGAGCAGAAGGACTAAATTTGGATAGAATTCACTGGACGAGAGAGTCCGCTCATGCTCTCCGTCAAAAAACACAAACAGAATTGATATGAATGTGGAAGAAGGAATTTCTGCTTAAATGATATCTGAAGAGGGGCACACACACGAGACACAGGTAAGTGCCAAATTGGTTACAAACAATGGATTCTTACCTTAAGGTGTGCTTAGAGTGTCCCTTTAATTACCTTACACAGAGCTTTCCTCCCTATTTCTTATTCTTTCAGGATGTATCAATAGCCACAAAACAGTAGAATTAATCAAAAACATAACCATGTAAGACAGATCTAAACCAGTAAACTGACTTTGTTTGCCCTGTTTGTTTTTAGACTAGAAGAATAATCAGACACAAATTATAGAAATATTGCTGTGATCTACATTACTTAGGAACTTGTGGATCCACCTGAAACTACAGTCCTCTCTTAATGACATTAGGAAGGCTCCCACTTACCAGCACCGAATACGAACACAAAGCAGAATATTAGTTGAGCTGTCTCTTGCATGCGCTGACCTTGCAAAGCCCCATTCCTTGCAATCCAGGTGATCTATTACATGCTCCAGAATTTCATGCTCACCTGTAGGACGCACATGCCATATGTATTTCCCAGAATTTTATGGGTCTCATTGTAGTAACAATAACGGATGTTGGTGGATGCAATGAAGAGCTCAAAAGGGTCATCTTCCTTCACGTTGAGCAAACCACTTTTTATCCTCTTCTGAAGCTTTCTCATCTGTTTCTTTCGGTGACTACAAAATGTGGAAAATCAGTTAGAAACACTAGAGAGACTGGTTCCAGCTCCATCTATTCTAACAACTCCTGAGCATTATCAGTTGGTAATAAAAAAAGATACTAAGTGAATAGTTACCTGCTGAAGCCCAGTTCTTTCTTGTAACACCAAAGTACGGACGGACGAGCACGAATGGTGGCTTTAGACAGCATGTGATGGAGAATGACCACCTGACGAGAGAGTTTTAAAACAATGAAGGTTCATCTGTCATTAATATCACCAATTCCAAAGAGATCAAGAAGTAATCGAAAATATAATTAAAGGATCACTATAGTGTCAGGAAAACAAACTCATTTTCCTGACATTATATAACTCTTAGGTACACCCCACCCTCAGGTTAAAACCCCTTCAGCCACTTACCTTTATCCAGCGCTGGTGACCTCTCCTCCCATGCCGACGTCTGGTTCTGGGTGGAGCGGAATGCGCATGCACGGCATTCAAACAATTTCTCAATGCTTTCCTATGGACATTCTGCACGTTGAATGCGATTTTCGCACCCAGCGTTGCAGAAGCGCCTCTAGCGGTTGTCAGAAAGACAGCCACCAGAGGCTGGATTAACCCTGCAATGTAAACATAGCAGTTTCTCTGAAACTATGTTTACATCTGAAGGGTTAAAACCTGGGGGACCTGGGACCCAGACCACACCATTAAGCTGAAGTGGTATGGGTGACTCAATAGTGTCCATTTAATAACAAATAATCCATATGCAGAATAATCCCATCTCCGCAATTTTGAACAAAATACTGGGGGTTCTACACAGCAAGATGTCCAAGAATTCCATTAGGATGAATCTTACGTTCTTTCCACAGCGAGAACAAATGCAAACCAACCAAGCCAAGGGGATCGTACAGACTGAGTGCCTCAGCTGATGCTTGAACACAATTAATGCCATTTAAAATTTGGATGAAATGGACTTTGCTAATGTGGACGTGTAACTTCTGCATTGACAATGTGATAAGTGAAAGACAAGTCATGGGCAGCCGGGAGACCTTAAGTTTGTGCTAGAAATTTTTTTTTGACATAGAATCAATGGACAATGTCTGAATCTGCTTGTACCATAACTCCTACAATGAATACAGTGGTCATGGTGCTGAGAATGTCTCTGTAAGTTATATATCCACATCCCATCAAAATACGCTGGAACCGTCCAATTACTTTAACCACTTACAGTTATGGGCAGAGCTTGTTGCATTAAGCCATGGTATTTACAGCAGAAGTGGAGCCTTCAAACATGCCATGTTTATAATGTATCTTTTTGTATGAATTATCAATAGAATGCATTTATCACATTCAGCTCACAAGTAATAAGCATTTCCAGACCTTTTTTTTTTTTTTTTCTTCAGAAAAGTGATCTGCCTTTCGTATGATGCTAAAATGGAAACTGGGGATCGGACACAGTTTAATAACTAGTTTTATTTGTGACTGAAAGTCTGTTTAAGAGTTGATACACAAACAGAAATAACATCCCATAATCACTGTGGTATATCAAATGGTAACAATGGTCACATAACAGGAAAAACAAAACGACATAACCGTGAAGTGGCATATTCTGAATAACAAGTATTTTAGATATCAATAGATAACACAACACCACTACCACAAAAGGTAGCCTGTGAAATCTCTCATGAAAATAGCAACAAAGTTTCATTTCCACAGGTCGCCCATTGTGAGCCTATAAATGATTATTGCAAAAACACAGTTGCCTGTTAGAAACAGTGACAGTTAAAGGACAACAGTCGCCTCACTTTTAATATAAATGATCATTTCATAAAGTTTTGAAAGGAAATAGTTTAAATTATATACACAAGAAAAACTCATCCCTACCTTTAGTGTACGACAGGATCCTCCAGCCATATACAGGTGGTCTTCATTTTGCGACGGCTTACGCTTACTACCAGCTCTCTAGCGTGAGGATTCAAGGGATTCCCCACATTAGAGAGCTGGTCTATGTTTAGGGAATTTTCCCCGCACATAGATTAGAGGGATTCCCTGCTCTGGTGCGTATGTATACGTTCAGAGAAATTTCCCCGAATATAGACCTGCACTGGTGCGCATGCGCCTCACCAACCAATTCATTTTACGACCAGGTCGGTAAGTGAGGAGCATCTGTACACCTTAGGTCCAAATGTGTTTTAATCTGACAGTTTCTGTGGTCTTCCCGTGTCACTCGGCACGGGGAGGATCGTGGGCAGAGCCTGACCCAGCACTCAGGACATTGACGCTAGATTCATGTAAGTGACCTAAGGGGTTTAACCCCATCAGCATTGCTGGAGGGGGTCACTGTAGGGGTCTATAGTGCCAGAAAAAAAAAAAATATTTTCATGACACTAAAGAATCCCTTTAAAAATTAGTTTTGAGGTGACAGTTGACCTTTAAGCATAAAGAAAAATATTGCAAGATTCCAAAAATAGAGTAGAGTAGTCACCATGGAAGCAAATGAAAACTAAACAAAAGCAAACAAACAAACCACTGATGATTTCTCCAGATTTTTAGAACTTTTCATGGTCTGCAGTGTCACAATGTTAAATCCTCACACATGACATTCAATATGTATCGAGCTCCTGTGTTGTGTTTCCTCACCTGATCTTTTCCATGGTCTCCAACAATCACAAACAAGTTCCTGTGTTTTTCACTGACGCCATTCTCGATGAGCACCCGGATGCGATTATCAATCTTCTTCCTCTGCATTATGACACAATTCTCTGGCAGAATATTATCAACACTGAACAGAAAATATAAAAGTAAATGACAGAGATTTCATTGGGAGCAAAGGGGAAAGAAAGAGAGGGGGGAAACAGGTAAATGCATGAGTGGAGAAGGGTATATGTGTGTCTACTATTTTTTTTTTTTTTTTTGTAGAGTGAATAAAATAAATTATTTATTCCAGTATGTAAATGTAAACAGTTTATTATTGTAGTACTGAAAGAAAGAAAAAAGTATTTTTACACGAATCAGAACAATAAGCTGCCTGGGTGGGGACATTCTTTTTCCTCTCTCTGAAAAAGTTTAAGATACTTTAAGGTTTACTTTGGTAAATATTATGATAGGAGTACTCTGGAACCGTTCCAATGTAATGAAAGCACCATGACCACTTCAAATCCCTGGAGTGATCATGGTGCTATGATCAACTCTTCAATTCCGTTTTAGGCCTGTTACACTCCAGCTGTAACAGAATAACAGGGACCATTGGGATCAAATCTATACGTTTTTATGGTGGGGAGCTTATTGATGTCACCTGTTCACATTGCTTAAAGGAACATTACAGGCATTATAAAAACTGAATTTTAACTAAAGTTTATATAGTGCCTTCAGTCCTACCCTCAAAACTCTTTATTTTAATAATTGGACTTGGAAACACAGCTTCAAGCCACACCTCCAAGCCCTTCAGATATGATAGCCAGCACTTACTTTCTGGCTCTCATACCGTGACATCTTGCACATATGCACAGTGCCATCACAGTATGCCATAGAGAGTCAATGTATTCAATAATTCTCTATGGCAGAAATATAGACATCGCAGAGAGTGCCATGCATGCACTTATGGTAACCAATAGGAGAAGCATTGGATTTGACTGTCATCACACGGGGAGGAGGCAGTGTTGAGGGATACAGGGCGCTGGAAAGAAGGTGACTTATTTTTATTTGTTAAATATTTTTAACACAGGGTGACTGAACTAAGTAGGCACACAAAGACTGTAGTGTTAGGAATACAGATATGTATTCCTACGGTTACAGTGGTTAATGAGGAACTATAATTTCCCCAAATCTTTTACATTCTGTTTATTTATCCCATTACACTAAACAAATGTCTGAAAAACAAAACTAAAGGAAAACTCCTATCATTATAACGATGGCAGTGCGCTGTAGCGGTTATTGTGCCCAAAAAGCCCTGGCGCTTCTAATGACCGCAATCAAAACGTACACAAACGGTTTGACTGCTGACCCCGCTTCTGAGACACCACTCCCCTCCTCGACTACGGATACGTAGCTGCTTGCTGGCTATTCACTACAGTGACACATTAAAGTGAATTTCAAATTTAAGGCCATAGTATCAGAACTGAAAGCAGAGCTGACTTAGAGGGCTTGTGCAGTTTGGCCAACTTTACCTTTAATTAGAAATTCGCTTTGAATTCTCACTTTAGTAAATAAACCTGTATATTTTACAATTCACTGTTTAGAGACTAGCCCCCCCTCCCCCCTGGTCCCTCAATAAATCCTGTGGGGGTGTCTGTATGTATGCCTGTGTGCTGTGTCAGTGAGGGTATATGGGAGGTGTATACTGTGTATATATACTCACAAGGTTTGCTGTGTAGGAAATTAGGAATCTCTCACATGTATCAAGCAGCATGGACGCTCACAGTGAGGAAGGACCTTTTTAGCTGCCCCGGCTGCGCCTGTTGTCCAGCTTGGGGCCTTCTGCACACCGTCGCGTTCGGATGACGTCAGAGACCAACACGTGCTTTGCTTCCTAGTCCAACGTTCCATTCTGCCCTGCATGTGCGTTACATTGTATCCAATTGCTGGCATTGCTATTATCAGGGGCTGTAGGACTAGTTATAGGAAAGGAATTAAAAAAAATAATATATTGTTTGGAATATTCTGTTGATATGGCAGCTGGCTAGAGGTTTATTAATTACCAAGCCAGCAATGGGCAAGTCAATCTGTGTATACAGCCATCATTAAAGCCCAACCAGCAATGGGCTAATTAGTCTATAGAAGCACCGATTGTGTTAAATCAAAGGCAGAGGAGCATTGATGAGGGAACATCAATTTTTAGATAATATGAAACCTTGTGTATCTCAGATATTTGTTTAGTCACACTGGTTAAATCCATGTTCAAGTGGTTTGGCAGAGTGAAGGAATTATGAAAGCCTACCCTTCTGATTGAAGCATGGTAATGAGTAAGATTCACTTTCAAATGGTTTGTGAATAAAAAAATAAAATGTTTCGCAGAAGTTCCACTAACACCACTGGCACAATGCTTAAATGGCACAGGCTCACTTGGTGTTTAGGGAATCCTTTGATTTTTGTAAAACTGCTTGAAATCAATTTGAAAAACTGCATTAAAAATACACCCAGGGTGTTTGTGTGTGTATGAGAGAGATGGATGCCTAGAGATATGGTGCAAATGTATATATCTTTTATTATTTTCATTTTAGAAAAAAATATATAAAAGCTTTATGTTCTCCCCTTCCCACCCTTCTTCTTACCTTTAGCGAAAGAGGGGGGAAGCATTTCAAGCCCTGGTGGTCCGATGGTGAGCTGTGACCTTTAGCCTGCAGCTCCTTTGACTGGAGGCTGACTTCATTTATGCGAGGTGAGCACTGTGTCGGAATGTTGCCACGGTAAAGCGCGCCAATGCTCCAACCTGCCTGCTTGCGGCAGAAATTATCTGCCTTCCAGGTCCTCCCTCTCCCCTTATGTAGTGATCTCCCCAGCGGCCTGAGAAGGCAGCTAGCAGGGCTGGCTCTGTATAGACCGGCAGGAGAGATGAAATGATCTTCTCTGTCGGCCTCCGCACAAGGGCATCGCACTGGGGCCCCTATGCTTGTGGGGACCCAGGCAACTGCTCACCATGTCCATGCGGAAAGACATCCCTGCTTGAGCAAAACAATTGGAGAGAACAATGGCCTGTAAATGACAGCAAAACACAAAAATAATAATAATTAGGTAGTCTCAATAAATATAAGGAGTCGGCTCTGTAACTAGATAGATGTAACTATTTTTATACAGTAACAAAAACTGTAGCTATATTCTACTTAGGATAAGTTTTAGGGGCAACATGCGACCCTGGCACTGTCCCACATTAAGATGTCAAACCACTTTAGCACTGGATCAGATTTCTTGCGGCAGGTAATAGCTCTATAAATAATGCAGAAACAAGCTCACTGGCTTAGTGTCAGTTCATGGCTCTCAACCAATGAGCACGGTACTAAATTTGTTGTTCTTTGTTCTAATTGCTTCTTCTAATGGAGAGGACTGGATGTGATGAAGGCGCTTGGTAAGAAGAACCAGTGCTGAAAATAGTTTGCAATCTGACTATGGGACAAGCTCTAGTTCACACCTTGCACCAAAACTAGTACAGTTATAAAAGAATAACACCTAGAGGTTTACAATTATTTAAACAACAACTTCAGATCAAGGTGATGAGGAATTCACAAGGGAATGAAAGAACAAATTGGAAACTTGTACATTCAGCTTAATGGAAACATTAATAATAATAAAAAAAGTTCAAAACTCTTTTTTTTTTTTAGACAAGAATATTAATGATCTCAAAGAAGAGCTTACATCTTTTACTGATACACGTGTTTAAACAAACCGTGATCCTCATCCAAAGTAAATAAGAAAACGTCAAAATAGACACAAAACATATAAAAGTTAAAAAAAAAATATGCTAGAGACAAACAAGATTACTCTAATAACCAAATAAGAACGTCATCTCAACAAAAAAACATGTTTCCAAGACACCAGACTACAAAAATAGGACTCCTAAGGATTACAAACATCACAAATACATCATTAACCCTCACAGATATGAATCCTCACCAAACCAAAATTATCACTCTAAGAGATCATGATCTGATTCTCACTACCCCAAGCCCAGAGCAAATAACAATAAAAATCATGGTAATACTCCCAAACAGCAATTTGAAAAGGAACAAAAATATTCCCAAGTGCCTCATAAATATCGAAGACCATCACATCACATGACAACTAAAGATCGCCCACGCTCCCAAACTTATCACCACGGCATTACACAGATCGACAGTAAAAGAAAAACTCTTAATTATAACGAACCACTTGCAACCAGAAAAGAATATATGAATGAAATCCCAAGACCACAATGATACAGATACTTATGATTATACCAATTAACTCAGTTCCACACAACTTGCTGTTATGTTGATATGATAGAAACATTTAAATATATAAAGGGAATCAACACAGTAAAGGAGGAGACTGTATTTAAAAGAAGAAAAACTACCACAACAAGAGGACATAGTCTTAAATTAGAGGGACAAAGGTTTAAAAATAATATCAGGAAGTATTACTTTACTGAGAGGGTAGTGGATGCATGGAATAGCCTTCCAGCTGAAGTGGTAGAGGTTAACACAGTAAAGGAGTTTAAGCATGCGTGGGATAGGCATAAGGCTATCCTAACTATAAGATAAGGCTAGGGACTAAGGAAAGTATTTAGAAAATTGGGCAGACTAGATGGGCCGAATGGTTCTTATCTGCCGTCACATTCTATGTTTCTAAGGATTAACGTTTCCCCCCATCCACCCTTTTAAACCCTTTCAGGCATGTTTAGATGTTAATAAAGCTGTCAGGAAAACCACCTCAAAAATATGTTTTTTTTGCTATAAAGATTCTGTGCAAGACACAACCACTACCCCTATCCCTTCTGAAAGTCCTAAAGTTATCAGAACAAATCTAAAAGAAAATTCCAAATTTGACTCGTCTAGTTTTTAATCAGGGCCTCTAGAAGTTTTCGAGAAGCTTGTTTTAAAAGATTTTAATAATATTAAAATAAACATCTGATCATTTTAACCTTACTTACCATGAAAGATTGGCTCTGAAACAATTACAACAAGATGACATTGACATAAAACTGGCTGATAAATCAGGTGATCAGGTTATACTATCTAAAGATATGTACATAGAAGAGGCCTTAAGACAACTCAGTGATTCCGATGTCTACCACAAACCACCTCATGATCCTACTCCGCTAACAAAGAATGTTTAAACCCAATATTTAGATAAAGGAAAAGGTCTTAACATACTCATTAAAAAAAGAGTATGAGCACATCAACACTAAAACTTTATTTTTTTTAAACTCTACTAACATTTTCATAAAAAAAAAACATTTGTCATAGACCAAACTAGCTGTCACGACAGACCTTGGCTTGCTAGTGCCCCCAAAAAGCCAATATCTGTGTTTGAGGAGGAATTGTTCAAAACTTGATGATTTTAAACATCAAGCATCTCTTTTAAATAATTAATGCTTAGAAAAGAATTCCCCTGCAAAAGATCTTGAAACTATTATAAACAAAGTTCAAATTAATTAAAGAAAGAAATATAAAAAAAGAAAGACGTTCCTTTAACCCTGTTGTATTTGATTTTAACAATAAGAGTATAGATATGAAAAAGATTATAAATAAGCACTGGCATGTTCTGAAACAAGATGAAACACGATTATCCCTGATAAACCAAACACAATTTTAACCCCTTAAGGACACATGACATGTGTGACATGTCATGATTCCCTTTTATTCCAGAAGTTTGGTCCTTAAGGGGTTAAAGGAGTTCCAATCCATACTGGGGAAGCGCATTCGTTATACATAAATTACTTATAGTAAACAAAAGTTATGCAGTAAGTATGAAACAAAAACATATGCACTGTTAGTATGACTGTCCTCTTAAAAATAAAATTTACCAATCTAGACAAGATCTCTTTTAAGGCACACAGTTCTTCACATAGCCACCAGATGTGGGGAAAGAAGCCTAGTGCCTTACCACATCGCCAGCAATCTTGAGATGCCCGGTGATCGATTCGAGATAGTCGTGTGGGAACCAGATCCCAACGGTAAAGAAGTTTATAATACACCTCCAATATGTTTACCAAATGAATATTTATTTTCGCTAGACAGAGGTCCTGCAGCCATTCGTCCAGAGAATAAGAAATTTGGATTTCTTGCTCCCATTTCATCATTGCCAGGACTTTTTCTTTTTTGGTTAATCATAAACATAGAGAACCTAGAGTTTGTTACTGAAATGCTGGGCAAGGACCTCGTCAATCGGTATTAGCCCAGCTAGTGGTTTGCCAGTTAAAAATGATTTGATTCTCAAATAGTTGAAAATCTCTCTAGTGGGGTGGTTATATTTGGTCTGTAATAGAGGAAATGGAAAAATTATCTCACCATCTAATATCTCTGAGAAGTCCATCAGACCACATTTATGCCATTCTCTGATATTTAGGTCCTCTATGTAATATTTTAAGCATTCTATAGGAGCATAATGGGATATTTTATACGTACCAAATTTTTTCTTGTATTTTACTGTGGAAAGTACCACTTTATTAATTGGATTGTCAGATATTAAAGGATCACTATGGGGTCAGGAACATAAACATGTATTCCTGACCAGGGGTCAAGTCCTGGGGAAAAAAACAAAAACCCAAAACACTCGTATGCATACATAAATGCATGCACAAACACATTCAGACACACACATACACTCACTCTTTAGATCCCACCTTTTCCTGCTCCTTTTAAAGAAATACTATAGTGCCAGGAAAACAAAGCTGTTTTCCTGGCACTATAAATCCCTATAGTGCCCCCCTCCCTCATGTCCTCCCCTCCTCCACTCGACACTGAAGAGGTTAAAATCCTATGGGTATTTAGCAGATGCTAGATGTCCTCATGCACAGCGTGAGGACGTCCAGCATCAATTAGGCGACTCTGGTAGACAGCCACTAGAGGTGGAGTTACCCCTCAAGGTAATTATTGCAGTTTCTGGGAAACTGTAATAATAACACTTGCAGGTTTAAGGGGACTGGGACACTTGACCCAGACCACTTCAATGAGCTGAAGTTGTCTGTTGCCTATCGTGTCCCTTTAAGCACACACTCTGACTGACACACACGCATTCACTGACACACACTGGCAGATGCACAAGGACAGTAACATACACACACTATATGACAAACACACAGACGTCACTGATTTGACACACACATTCACTGACGCACTCATTCATTGACAGAGAGACACACACAAACACACTGACAGACACACACTAATAGTCACACACACACTAAATGACAAACAGACTCTCACTGATTTGACAGACACTTACAAACATACACTAACAGAAGCACATACACGCAAACATACACATGCATACACTAACAGAAGCACATACACTCATACACACGTGCATACACTAACAGAAGCACATACACTCATACATGCATACACTTACAGAAGCACATACACACACGTACATACGCTAACAGACGTAAATACACTCATACACACACTGACACAAACACACACATACACTAACAGACATAAACTAACAGACATACACATACACTAACAGACATACACACACAGACAAACATAAACTAATTATTAATATTAACATTTCCCACCCTGCCTCCCTACCTTTTAGGAAAGCTGACATGGAGGGGTCCCTGGGGCTGCAGTGAGGCGGGCGGCTCTCTCCCTGTGACACGCGGTGAGGGAGCTGTGTCCTCTCTGCTGCCTCTCGCCGCGCGGGTTGTCTGCGGATGCAGGGAGCCGGAATATGACTTCATATTCCAGCTCCCTGCATGAGAAAACAGCGCGCAGCGAGAGGCATCAGAGAGGACACAGCGACCTCGCCGCGTGTCACAGGGAGAGAGCCGCCCGCCGGGGGGGTCCATCAGGCGGCCCCCCCCATGACAGGGGGAACACAGGGCATTTGGGGGCGGCACTTTTGCCGCCCCCTGAGTGCCTGCAGGAGGAACAGCATTCCTGCTGTGAAAAAAGTGTAGGAACGCCGTTCCCACGCGTTCCTGCAGGACTCGAGCCCTGTTCCTGACCCTATAGTGTTAAAACCACCATCTAGCCCCCCTGGGCCCCTCATGCCTCCATAAATATAGCAAAATCTTACTGTATTCAAGCCTGAAGCTGTAGATCTGCATGCTGTTTGCCTCAAAAAAACAAGCAGTCTGCTGACATCATCAGAAGTGGTAGCCTGATCCAATCACAGTGCTTCCCCATAGGATTGGCTGAAACTGACAAAGAGGCAGATCAGGGGCAGGGCCAGCATGATTCAAACAGCCCTGGCCAATCAGCATCTCCTCATAGAGATGAATTGAATCAATGAATCTCTATGAGGAAAGTTCAGTGTCTGCATGCAGAGGGAGATACTGAATGTTTGGATGCATTTTAGGCAGCCATGACCCAGGAAGGATCTCTAACAGCCATCTGAGGAGTGGCCAGTGAAGTTATCACTAGGCTGTAATGTAAAGACTGCATTTTCTCTGAAAAGACAGTGTTTACAGCAAAAAGCCTGAAGGTAATGATTCTACTCACCAGAACAAATTCAATAAGCTGTAGTTGTTCTGGTGACTATAGTGTCCCTTTAAGCTTTTCACAAACTCCATGTCACTATATAAGGAAAAAGGGTTCTACATTCTCTAATCCTGTTTTTTCTAGGTCTAACCATGTTGGTTTGGATGAGGTGAAGTCATCACAAGCAGCAAAATGTTCCATCGTACTTACTAAATATGACCTTTGGACATCCGGAAAATACATCCCACCCTCCCTTCCTCTCTGAAGTATTTCCAGGGCTATTCTAGGTTGAATATCCTGCTAGATGTTATCAGAAAACTGTCTCTAAAATCAGCGTAACGTCTGGGAGTCTATCATCAGCGGGATATTCCTAAATAAATATAGCAATCTCAGCAGTAAATAGGAGTTGATTACCTCAATTCTGCCTAACAGTGATAGCTCAATTCCCTTCCAAGCTTTAAGATTTTTTTTAGATTGGGTGGCCGGTACCGAGTAGTTGAGCCTATTGATTTCTGTGCAATCCAGAGATAATCGTACACCCAGATAATGTATGCTTTTCGCCTCCCTATCTAGCTTATATTTCCCCTTTAAGGAAATCCATCCTAGGTCCGCTCAAGCTTTAGCCAAGATTTGTGTCTTTTTTATATTTACTTTGTACCCGGAAAGTTTACCAAACTCCTCAAGCAGATGAAACACTTCCGGTAGTGAACTAGTAGGGTCTGTGAGGGACAAGAGCACATCATCGGCATAAAGTGTACTCTTGATCTCAGATGTGTTAACAGTTATACCTTTCATGTCTGCATTCTGTCTGATGGATAATGCAAGGGGTTCAATGGAAAGAACATACAGTAACGGGGCTAATGGGCAGCCCTGCCAAGTCCCGTTCTGGATTGGGAACCAGTCGGATTGAAACATAAAACCTGATACTTTGGTTTGCAAGTCCCCATATAGAGCTATGGTATAATCTGTAAAGGTGCCCCCGATGCCAAAGGAGCCCAAGACCTCCTCTAAATACCTCCATCCAACACGGTCAAAGGCTTTTTCTGCATCGAGGGCAACCAAAGCAAAGGGGGACTTTTCATGACCTGCATAGTGGATAACATTCAGAATTTTCCTAATGTTGTCAGACGTGCTCCCCCATGAAACCAGACCAATGGATAATATCTGAAATTACCCCCTTGAGCCTACTGGCCAAAATTCATGAATACACCTTTATGTCTAAATTGGTAAGTGATATTGGCCTATAGTTACAAGTTTTTGCAGGGTCTTTGTCTGGTTTGGCAATTGGTATAATGGATGCCCAAAGCATCTCTGATTGAATGGTTTTATATATTGCTATCTCTAGGAAAGTCCTCAACAAAAAGGGTGAAATCAAATCGTTAAGCTTCTGATAAAAAAAAAAGTGATGAGAACCCATCCAGACCCAGAGATTTGCCAGACTTTAGTGCTCGAATGTTGTCGCTGATCTCTTGTAAAGGGAAGGGACTGTTTAGCTGAATCGGTTTTTCTTCAGAAATTTTAGATCATTTTAACTTACCAACAATTTCCAGAATAGAGGGGACGATGGGGTTCAGATTATACAATTTCTTGTAATATTCTCTGAATGCTTTGCCTATTTGTGTTGGAGATAACAATTTTGTATTTACTACCACAATTTTCTTAATAGTTTTAAGTTCACACCTATTCTTTAATTTGTTAGTAAGATTTCTGCCTGCTTTATTATTTCCATGGTACAACCCTATTTTAGAATTACTATTGCTTTAATAATTTTTTTCTTGGGTTCCTTCTAAGATCTTCTGCCTAATAACCTCAATTTCCCTCAAAATACCCAAATCTAAGCGGATTTTATGAGACCTCTTTGCTTTGCCAACTCTATTTATAGATCATTCAGATCTTTCCCCTTTTTTATTTTTTTAATATAGCTACTCAATTTTATGAGCCAGCCTCTCATGCAGGATTTAAAGGACCACTATAGTGCCAGGAAAACATACTCGTTTTCCTGGCACTATAGTGCCCTGAGGGTGCCCCCACCCTCAGGGTCCACCTCCCGCCCGGCTCTGGAAAGGGGAAAAGGGGTTAAACTTACCTTTTTCCAGCGCTGGGCGGAGAGCTCTCTGCCTCCTCTGATCCGCCCCGTTGGCTGAATGCGCGCGCATTCAGCCGGTCACATAGGGAAGCATTCTCAATGCTTTCCTATGGACGCTGGCGTGCTCTCACTGCGAAAATCACAGTGAGAAGCACGCAAGCGTCTCTAGTGGCTGTCAATGAGACAGCCACTAGAGGGAATGGGGGAAGGCTTAACCCATTCATAAACATAGCAGTTTCTCTGAAACTGCTATGTTTATGAAAAAATGGGTTAACCCTAGAAGGACCAGGCACCCAGACCACTTCATTAAGCTGAAGTGGTCTGGGTGCCAAGAGTGGTCCTTTAAAGGTACACCAGAGAATAGAGTCACAAACCTCTTGATTATCATTTACCTCAAAAAATTATCTGGCCTGGGCACGCAGATCCCTACCCAGATAATAATTGATTCATGTATATATCTGATGGACGTTTGAAAAAAATGAATAATCTCGATCGTCTGGATGCTGTGTTCTCCAGCAGTCATATAAACGATTTTTGGCCAGAAAATTCTGCATGATTGATGTACCGGCCTTTAGAGTTACGTCGTTTGGGAGAGATTTATTACTGTTCCTATCTATTTTACAATCTATAATGCAATTCAAATCTCTGCCGATGACAGACTCCCAGACGAGACAGGGTAAATTTTTTGAATAAGACTTTCAAGAAACCTATGTGGAAGTTGGTTAGAGGCATAAACGTTAGCCAAGGTATATAACCCATTGTTGATACATACTATCAATTAGACATGTGCAATTTGTTTCGGTCCAAATTTAAATTCGGATGAATTTTGGAACTTTGGATGCTTCCAAATTGACGAAGTGCCAGATTTTGGAAGTGCCGAACCGAACCAAATTGCCGAAGTGCTTCGGATTTTTAAAAAGTGGCAAAACAGGAGAGGGAGGGAAAATTAAGGGAATGATGACAATGATGACAGGAATCTAACCCTAACCCTTCCCCTAACCCTAGTATGGTTAGGGGTAGGGTTGGGGTAGTGTTAGGGTTGGGTTTAGGTTAGGGTTGGGTTTAGGGGTTAGGTCAGGTTTAGGGAATTGCCGAAGTGACGAATTTCCGAACCGAAGTGCCAAAGTCCCGAATTTTGGAAGTGTCGAACTGAACCGAATTGCCAAAGTCCCGAATTTTGGAAGTGTCGAACCGAACAGAATTTTTTGCCCATGCAAATCCCTACTATCAATATCAGGTATCTACCCGTTGGATTGCTCTCCTCATAGACAAGCTCAATCTTCAATATACCTGAAAAAATAATGGCTACCCCTCTTTTTTTGTTTGTCCCCTTCAGGCAAGAACTATGTATTAATAGGAATTTTTTTATATCTCTACAACCTAGAAGGAGACTCTACCCAATGGGCCTCCTGAATAAATCCAATGTCTATTGTATTATCCATTAACAATTTGTACAGATAACCTCTCTTCTTTCCTGAATTTAGACCCCTGGCGTTCATAGACAGAATTTTAAGTGACATCTGAATGGCTCACCACTCCTTTCTCTTACCCGGCCGCCCACCACATTCAACTGCCCATTCATACCAACTCAGTCCATTCATACCAACTCATCCCGTTCTCAATTGGCCACATTATAGGCCTCTGGGAAACATACATCTTCATAAAGTCTACCCGTGCAATCTATCTTACGTATGAAAATCCTCTAACTAAAGTCTCCATATTATTCCTGCTGCTGCCGCCGCAGGAGCCCAGACTGGACAAACAAGGCTAAGTAACTAGTAAATGTAATATCATTCATTTTTCTATTCCCCTGAAGAAAAAAAAAAATACGATACTATTCAGATAGACTCTCCACTGACTAATATAAAGAGATATGGGTCCCCCAGAACAAAATCTAACAAACTCCGCGACTGTTTGCTGTAATGTCCTACCCTACCTTTTTTTTCACTTTGGTATCTCAACTCTAATTGTTATTCCCATCAAGGACTCTCACTTTATATTTATTGTTTATCACGTTGGGATTTTTGTAGACAGATTATCCATTTTTAAATGTATGAAAAGATGAAACTTTTGCAAAAATAAATAAAAAAAATAAAATAAAAACTTACTGGAATTGAGAAAAAGAAATCTTCTACTTTATCGAATATGAAAGTTTTTTTTTTTAAATGCAAAAAGTGTATTGTTTGTTAAACAACAGATTGTACAGCACAAAACAAAATTACTAAATTTCCTTCTCACATTACTAAGAAAACCTATGAAATTAATAATGTTATCTCTTGCAAAACGAAAAATGTAATCTATCTTATGGAGTGTGCCCTTGTGGCTTCCAATATGTGGGGATAACTTAAGGAAGTTTAAAAATCCGACTAGCAGAGCATTGCCACAACAAAAGGATACCAAACCACACTTTGTTAAAGCATTTTATTATGCATCAGAATAATCGAAAGTATCTTAAATTTAAAGGTGTACAAAAATTTAATATTCCATGGAAAGGAGGCGATATGAAGAAAATTTTAGGCAGGAATCGGATGCAATGGGTTTTTAATCTAAAAACTTTAATACCAGATGTTTTAAATGCCGATTTTGATCTTCTTAACTTTTTTTTTACAATCTGGTATTAATTATGTGTTATTTTTATAATCCTGTTATATTTGTAATTTAACATTATGTGTAGTCACATATCTGCATATTCATAGTTTGTATTTTTTTTCTTTTTTCTTATTTCTAATGTCATTATAATTACTGTTATCAGTATATAAGGTATATTATGTTTTGTGTTTCCCTCTTTTAGGGTGTATTTTTAATTATTCATATTTTATCCTCTTTATAATAGCAATTATTAGTAATAGTAATAGTAATTTTTTTCCATTATTATTTTTTTTGCACCTCTTGATATGGTCATTTATGTAGCTTATTTTGTGCCTCACTCTCCATACAGTGGTGCCTTTTCCCTCCCAATATGGCTGCCGGACTTTATCACGTGATTTGCGGTGGCCAATTATGATCCTTTGCCGACCCACCACTTTAATAGTGTGACTCCAGGATTCCCCTTTTTATAGACACGTTCTCCTCCTCTCTTAGTAGGAGGGTCCTAAGGCATCGATTATACCATGCCCTTCTCACTCTAAGAGGCATTCACCTTGCCTCTTTGCATACTGTGCCAACTACACCCATAGGCCCACGTGACATGCCAATGATGCAGCGCCTGGCTTATTTTTTTACAATTTTCTAATGTTTTAAATGCTTCAACACTAATTTTTAATGTTTTTTAATATAATAAAGCTTTCCACTAGGTCCTTAGGCTTGTACTCTGTATCATAGTAATGTGATGGCAATTGCCGTTACGTGACTATGACTATAATTTTACTGCCAAAATTCTAATTTAGCTTGTTTGGTAACTTATAAATATGTTTGTATGCCAGGTATGTACCTTTTTCCACTTGCTAGAGCCCTATAGGGTGAAACGCGTCATTGATTTTTTTACTGTCTGTTGTTAATAAAGCATTGCCTGGCTACCTTAATTTTATTGGGGTCTTTGCCATATATATGTTATTTTATCCTTACACGGCTTCCTCTTACCTGGCATCCGTTCCTACCATCTGTGAATCCTGTGGACATCCATTAAAGAATCCTAGGTGGGGATCTTACCAACCACGCCTGACACATAAAGCGGTGTGTCTGCTCGTGATATTGTAAGACTTCAACTACAGTGGTACCTCGGTTTACCAATTTAATGCGTTCTCCGGGACTTGTCTTATTGCGAAAAATTTGTAAACTGAAACGTGGTTTCCCATAGGAATGCATTGAAAACCAATTAATCCGTTCCGGAGGTCAGAAAAAAGTCAAAATGAGCTTGCATGGAAACCAACCCACAACCTTTGGGTAGCAGCTTGAGGGAACAGCTCTTTTTATATCCTTATTGCTGGGAAGCGTGGCTTCTGAGATGCTAGTGTATTTACATGCAGCCTATAATCCAGTGTGCAGAATGTACCAAATTTAAGGTGAAATTAGCATATTTTTTTCATTCACAAGGCACTTCCGGTCAAACGGTTGCTTATCGATGGCGTTTTTTTTAAAAGCCATTTTAGGGGCTTTGGCAGTTTCCAGTCATTTTGACACTGAGTAAAATCACAGCTGTTTACAGTTTTCCAAAGCCCTCTTTTCTGATCCAGTGCTGCCTAATTTTCAGGTATTTAATTATTAAACTTCGGTTAGTTTTATGTTTTATTTGAAGTATAATATCCTTTTGGCCTTATTTATTTATTACGGCTAAATAAGGATTACCCCTTTTCAGAAGCTCTGGATTTTCTAATATGGCTTCTTCAGCACATAAGAGAAATTCTAAAGAATTCAAAAGAGTGCTCGGGACAATGGATTAGTTTCATCCAAGGAATTCCTTACATGTAAATATGTACCTATTATGTATTTTACAGCTCCCTCTGGTCTTCGTGGAGATCCCTGGTTCCCTCTGTGGATAAGAGACCAAGATGTAACCGCTGTGATATTTGCAACAACTTGGCAGTTGAAAGGAAATTAATTGAGCTTGGCCTGTATCCGTATGGCAGCTGATACCTCTATGAGCCATTGCTCAAGGTCGACCCTTTTGGACATCATTGTTTACATCAAACAGGCTGTAGCAGAGGAAGTCAGAGAAACTACCCAAAGCTCCAAACAGGCTAGATCCAGCATTAGACATGATTCCAAATATGTTTCATCAGAAGATGGTGAATGTGAGAGAGAATTTGGAGAGGATTCATTTTCTTCAGAGGGTGAAGAAATTCTTCAATCTGGAGGTTTTGATGAGAGGAAGTTAGAAGCTCTTACTGACGCAGTTCGCGAAACCCTTAAAGGACCACTCTAGGCACCCAGACCACTTCAGCTTAATGAGGTGGCCTGGGTGCCTGGTCCTTCTAGGGTTAACCCATTCTTTTATAAACATAGCAGTTTCAGAGAAACTGCTATGTTTATGAATGGGTTAAGCCTTCCCCCAAATCCTCTAGTGGCTGTCTCATTGACAGCCGCTAGAGGCGCTTGCGTGATTCTCACTGTGAAAATCACAGTGAGAACACGCAAGCGTCCATAGTAAAGCATTGTAAATGCTTTCCTATGCGACCGGCTGAATGCGCGCGCAGCTCTTGCCGCGCGTGCGCATTCACCCAACGGGGCGGAACGGAGGAGGAGAGCTCCCCGCCCAGCGCTGGAAAAAAGGTAAGTTTTTCCCCCTTCCAGAGCCGGGCGGGAAGGGGACCCTGAGGGTGGGGGCACCCTCAGGGCACTATAGTGCCAGGAAAACGAGTATGTTTTCCTGGCACTATAGTGGTCCTTTAATCTAGAAGAATCCTCAGCACAAGAACGTTCTTGCAGTAAGCATTTTGCCTTCAAGAACCTTATTCAGGAAGAATGGGACAAGACAGAAAAGAGTTTCCATTCAAGGTAAAATGGCCAAAGTTTACCCTTGGATTCCTCCAACCTGGGTTTCAGCCCCCAAAGTAGATGCGGATGTCGTTTCTTTTAAGAGAAATACATTGCCCATTGATGACTCCGGCTCCTTCACCTATGGACAGAAGGATTGACATTAATCTCTCTAAAGCAGTGATGGCGAACCTATGGCACGCGTGCCACAGGTGGCACGCCGGGCCCTTTCTGTGGGCACGCGGCCACAGGTTCGCCATCACTGCAGAGTAGGCGCCTGCCTGCCCGAAACGGCAGGCGCCTACTCTGCTTCCGGGTCGGGAGGCAGGGGGAGGGCTCCAGGAAGCAGCTCCCCTGTCCTCCCGTGCGATGCTGTGTGGAGCGTTGCCGCACGTTACCATGGCAACGCTCCACACAGCATTGCGCGGGAGGACAGGGGAGCTGCTTCCTGGAGCCCTCCCCCTGCAGTTCTTACCACCACCGGACCACCAGGGATCGCTGTGTCCCCCCCCCCTCCCCCTACTTCATTAAAGGTAAGAAGGAGGGGGGGGGGTATACTGACACAGCACCCTTACACCCCCAGAAGTACCCTTACCCCCCCAGAAGTACCCCTACCCTCCCCAGCAGTAACCCCTAACCCCCCAGCAGTAACCCCTACCCTGCCCCAGCAGTACCCCTAACCCCCCAGCAGTACCCCTACCCCCCATACACAGTACCCCTCCCCCCATACACAGTAACCCCTCCCCTCCCCAGCAGTACCCCTAACCCCCCAGCAGTGCCCCTACCCCAGCAGTAACCCCTACCCTCCCAGCTTGGTAACCCCTACCCTCCCAGCCAGTAACCCTCCCCTCCCAGCAGTGCCTAACCCCTGACAGTAACCCCTACCTCCCCAGCGGTACCCCTACCCCCAGCAGTAACCCCTACCCTCCCCAGCAGTAGCCTCCCAGGCAGTGCCCTAACCCTCCAGCAGTGCCCTTAACCTCCCCAGCAGTGGCCCCTCCCTCCCCAGCGGTACCCTACCCCCCCATACACACAGTACCCTAACCCCCAGCGGTACCCTACCCCATACAGTAACCCCTACCCTCCCAGCAGTGCCCCCCTATTGCCCCCAGCAGTGCCCCTACTACCCCCCAGCCCCTACCTCACCCAGCGAGCCCCTACCCTCCCCAGCAGTAACCCCTCCCCTCCCCAGCAGTACCCCTAACCCCCCAGCAGTGCCCTAACCCCCAGCAGTAGCCACCACTCCCCAGCCAGTACCCCTACCCCCAGCAGTAACCCCTACCCTCCCCAGCCAGTGCCCCTAACCCCATGCACGAGTACCCTACCCCCCCAGCGGTAACCCCTACCCTCCCCAGCATTTTGCCCCCCATACCCACAGTACCCTACCCTCCCAAGCGACCGGCCCCACCCTCCCCAGCAGTGCCCTAACCCCCAGCAGTGCCCCCAGCCACTCCCCAGCAGTAACCCCTGCCCCTCATGCAGGTACCCCTGCCCTCCCAGCAGTACCCCTTCACCCCCACACACGGGTACCCCTACCCTCCCAGCAGTACCCTACCCCCCGCCCAGCACCCTTACACATATAGCACACACACACACACAGCACCCCTCACATACAACACTCACACACACACGCACCCCCCACCTCAATGCAGTATGTGTGTATTCAGCAGTCTGTCTGTGTGTGTGTGCGTGTATTCAGCAGTCTGTGTGTGTGTGCGTGTATTCAGCAGTCTGTGTGTGTGTGCGTGTATTCAGCAGTCTGTGTGTGTGAGTGTATTCAGCGGACTGTGTGTGTGTGCGTGTATTCAGCAGTCTGTGTGTGTATTCAGCAGTCTGTGTGTGTGTGTATTCAGCAGTCTGTGTGTGTGTGTGTATTCAGCAGTCTGTGTGTGTGTGTACTCAGCAATCTGTGTGTGTGTGTGTACTCAGCAATCTGTGTGTGTGTGTGTACTCAGCAGTGTGTGTGTGTGTGTACTCAGCAGTCTCTGTATTCAACAGTCTTGTGTGTGTGTGTGTATTCAGCAGACTGTGTATGTATTGCATTTGTTGGAGATACTAATAAATATAAGCTTAATTTTATCTATTTATATCATTATTTAAAATTTGTATCATTGAACTCTCTGTGTTCTTTTAAAACAAAAGTTATTAGTTCGAACAGTACGAGTTGTTTTTTTCTAAACTTAAACCTCAGTATTTGGGTTTAATTGCCGTGTTGGCACTTTAAGGAGAAAAATGTTGGCATGTATTGCGGTTTGGGCACTCGGGCTCAAAAAGGTTCGCCATCACTGGCTTAAGGCGTGGGATGCAGATACTGCATCAAAAACTAGCCTTTCAAAGGGACATGCTCTTTGGATGTAAGTTAGATGAATGTATCAAGAAAGCAGATGAAGGACATAAAGTACTATTGCCTACCGAAAGAAGAAACAGATGTGCTTCTGGTAATTATAGTCCTTCAGGGAGTCGAGACACTACAGACCAGGCAAACAGCCTTTTCGTCAACAATGGAAGAATAACCAATCTTCCAACAGAGGAGGGTTCTGATGCCAGAAAATAAAAAAATGAATCATTGGCATCCATCATCAAAGTATTATCGCCAGGGGATTGAATGATTTCAATCAACCTAAAGGACGCTTTTTTTCTACATTCCGATAGAACAAGAACATCAGAGATATCTAAGATTCTGCCTCAACAATATACATCTTCCATTTAAGGCTCCCCTGTTACCTCAGCTCGGCAAAAGGGTCTTCGCCAAAGTGCTAATCTCCCTTTTTGCAGAAATCAGCCAACTTGGTATTCAGATTTATTACCCCACGATATTCATCTGGTGGGGAAAAATCAAGCTACATTGTTGTCTCATCGGGACAAAACCAGGAACATCTTAGAACATGGATGTATCCTGATTATAGAGAAGAGCAACCTGGATCCCTCACAGCAGATGGTGTATTTAGGAGCAGCTTTCGACACATATCAAGGAATGGTTTGTCTTTCACAGGAGACTGAAGAACAAAATTGCAGAATAACTAAGTTATGTGCAGGTTCATGAGCCTATTAGGCTTAATGTTGTCCACAATACGCCTGACAAGATGGGCTCAGTGGCACCTGAGGATCCCTCAGAAATCCTTTCTTCTACAGTTCAGTCACCAGTCTCTTGAACATAGAAACATAGAAACATAGAATGTGACGGCAGATAAGAACCATTCGGCCCATCTAGTCTGCCCAATTTTCTAAACAAAAGATCTCTCTCTCTACCAAAGTGTTGAAAGCTTAGATGCCTGCAGGAAATCTTAGAGACTCTTCATTGTCCCAAGTGGTCAGAATAAAGGCGAGAGGGCATCTGTGAAAACATTCTACAGATGGGTTACCTTGGCTATATCTAAAGCTTATGAGGTTTAGAAAACTA